TTTCAAGCATTTTAAGCGTATCGTATGTATTTACTTATATATTTATATTGATTTTACACATATATTAATATATTTAATTCTTAACTATATATTAAAACTTGAGGAATTACATATCGTATAGAATTTATTTCTTATACCTTGAAAGTTTACTAAGTTACGATATTTTTTTTAGTTTCAGTTGCACTAGAATTAATATGGTTCATTGACATATAATATTATCGTTTGTAATTGATGCGAATATCTATGCTTATTGCAAGGGAAATTTAAAGGAGGGAAAAAAATTTATCCTCGCATTATTGATAAATTGTATATTCAATTACGTTTCTCAATTTTTATCAATCTGTTCGTGATAGATAGATAGAGATACAGATAGAGAGAGAGAGAGAGAGAGAGAGAGAGAGAGAGAGAGTGAGAGAGAGTGAGAGAGATTGCGGGGGGGGGATGCATGAAAATCGACGGTGAAAAAATGTAAGCTGGCTAATTGTGGATCTAATGCTTGTTGGTCGACGTACCGAACAAAGGATTGGAATTGCGGCCCACCCGGGTAATGCACTGGGATACTTTTCCGATGCAGCTGTTCTATAAATCTCTTCGAATCGATTTAAGTGCTCGAGCTTTTTTCAATCGTTGCTTTACCATAGCCGTTCAGCTGTTTTATGACTCGTGCACTTTCTTGTTGTTTCGAATGAACAGCACGAAACCGTTGTATCGAGGCACTTTATATTCGCATAACGATCATCAGGATTCAGGATTCGCTATATTATGAATCTTATTAGCAATGTACGTAGGGTTTGACTAGACTTATGAAAATATGTAAAATACAATTATTTTACATCCCTTTTTTAACGCGAACATTATTTTTAATTATCACTCTCGACAAAAAGTATATGTTAAAAATAAAGAAACTAAAAAAAAATAAAAATTAAACTGTCGACGGTAGGGTATTAGTGATTTTACGTTGTTGCATCGTGAAATAAAAATTGGATGAGTAATACTTTGAAGAGCAGAATACCAATATACGGGAATAGTATTTCATAGAGTTCTGCCGTTATTCACAGACACTGAAGCTTCAAATTAATTTTTTCGTTCTTGTTTCTCCAGGAACTGTGCAGGTTTGAAACTTAGAACGAACGATCACAGCAGTCTCGAGCGCTTTTTTTTTCTTCCAATTAGTTAGTTAGCCTGGCTACCTCGGGGCGATCCGTTTTCCTTGAGTAGTGTAGTAGTAGTAGTAGTAGTAGTAGTAGTCGTCCGTTGCTTGAGACTGCCGACCTCAGGGACGGGAAGCAGGGGCCCTGAGAATTTCACGTACGTCTATTGCGATTTCTCTCCCACGTCTTTGTTACGTGGAAAATCGTGAATCTGGCTTTGAAAAGAGACGACCCGCCTAGTAAAGCCTCGAGCTATTGGCCGACCGTCTCTAGCCAAGCGCCTGGATACCTTCTAACGCTTTCGACGAATTTTCCAGAACAGTCTTCATACAATTTTTAAATGCCCTTTCATTTATAAAAAGATTAAGCATTTTGTCGAAAATTTACGAAGACAAGCATTTAATATTTTATAATATATCCTTATTTTGCATTTTATAGGAACGTTCGGAAAGTTGAAACGGTTAATTAGTTTATATCTTATATCTTTTATTGGGAGTAGTGTTGAAAATTTCCACTTTCGATCAATAATACGCCATTGTTGTTGGTATGTAATGGATAATATACTACTCACAGAATGAGAGAGAGAGAGGGGGGGGAGGCCAGAATATGTATTACGTATCAGATACAATGTTTCTTCTCTTTATTTAGCACATTTGTGTACACAGTATTTAATAAAATATAATATTTTTCTTTCGTATTATCAATTAGTGCATCGTATCTCATTATTCAGCCATTGTATGAATTTACAATCTATAGATATGTGGTTTGAGAAATTACAGTTAATTACCGGCAATTACTTTTTTTACTAGCTAGCTTGTCTTGTCAACAAGATAACATCATACGAGAATCAGATTGCCGAGAATGTATAAATATTTATTTTTTTCTTACTGAACAATACGGATATATCGTACCTTGATTATTGTTGCTTTAGAAATATCAACGTTATATTTTAATATAATTAGGTATTAGGAATGAGTAGGTTTTGAAGAAAAGAGGAAAAAACAACAGAGATGAATAAAACAATTCATATGGTTTATTATTCATTGTAATTAGTGGGAAACGTGAGTGACAACGTTCGTTAAATGGGCCATGAAAATAGTTGTTTTAACGGTACAATACAATAATCATTTCGTGTCGTGGCTGGAAATTTCAGCGAATGCGAGTGAAATAAATTATTTACAACTGGATATCGAAGAGAATATCCGTGGGTGGTTTCCATAAATTCATGTCGAATGTAACGGGCGCAGACTATAATTGGCATACAAAAAAAAACGAACGAGAAAAATAGACGAGTAGTAGGAAAGCTGCAGTTGCCGGGTAGACGGTGGGGAGTGTGGCGGATTGGAGGGGAAGGGGCAACACCTGCCGGGTCTGGGCACCCTATTTTTATCGTTTATCTTTGTTTTTCTTTATTTTTCTTTTATTTACAAATAGTAGCAATGTCCGCTTGTCGAGCATTGTCAAGTCACTAAACGTTTACCTATCGATTACCTCGTTGACGTGGCTCTTAATTAGCCTTGCATTATCCGATCAGTTTACGAGGATGACGAAAGGGAACGGAACAAAAATCGGCCTCGGGAAATAGAAATGTTCATTATGTGTATTCCGGGGCGCTGAAGCGCTTTTTCCAACTTAATTTTTCAGCCGAACAATTTATTTCTGGGGCGATTTCGAGGTGCCGGTTGTCGTTGTCGGTATCCCGAGCGCCTCGTTCTATTATAAATGTCGCTATGCATCGGGACTTTTCTTCGGCTCCGTCGTCGTCTTTCCGCTTGGCATGAGAAAAACAGACATACGCACGGCTAGATTAATCATAGTCGTTGCTCTCCTCATGCGTCAACATTCGTCCCCATCATTATTTCGAGCGCTTTATTTTAGATTACACGAGACTTACCTCCATAAATTTTCAGCCATCAAATTGAAGAGAAAAAAGTCAGAATTGCATTAGGCAATTACATACCGGCGCACCGATCGCCTTGATTACGAGCGCTACATCGGTTTGCCGAGCCGCAGCCGATAAAGCGAACGCACACAGCTCGGTGGAGGAGATCTTTGTCCAACAATCGGATCGAGCCGGCTCTCGTCTCTCGTTTAATCGCCTTTCTCGCAGCCGACTCGCTTTCTTTTGCCGTCTTGGCGAACGCGCGAGGAGATGGTAAATTAACTATGCTTTCGGCACGTACGCGTACGGCATACGTATTTACCGAGCTGTAGCATTGGGAGCTCATTGAACAACAATGTTATTCAAGTTATGCCCGAGAATTGCGAGTTCATTGCACAATTTATGCTGCTTTAGGAGTTTTCGGTTGTTTAATTGGCCCGTTAACGTGAATCATTGATAGGATTTGCCAAAGAGCGACGATAAGATGTTAAAAGCAAATAATTTTATCTACCGGCCGCATGTGGATGCAAATAGCATCTTATTGGTTTATTTTTGTATGATTGCAGCTGGGCTATGTATAAACCGAAATGTGATAAGTAATGGACGTTTACTTTGCCGAGAGCGCAAGCGTATTATGCAAGGCAATTGCGTCGCTTTGCAATGCGCTTGGGAATATTGTTTTCCTCGACGATAAGTTTACGATAAAACATGCCGGTGGTATAATCTATTCGAGGGATTCTTAGAAGCTCGTTTATCTTTCGTCTCTGCGAAATGATAGCGGGAGACCGAATCACGCTGTAAGATTTACGCCTCGAATTAATCGTCGTCGATGCTTGGCGTATGGGAGCCGTATGGGGAGCTTCGGGCGGGCTGTACCCGATGGAAGACAATGTTTCTATTTTAATAATAAGAGAGAATGCCATCCCTATGTATGTCGTATAGCTCGTAATACATCATTGCAACAATGGATTAATATTATAAACCTCATCGATAAGCCGACGTTTTTCTAAAACATTGACGGAATTTTGTCAATAATCATGCGTTATACAAGATTTTGTCATTTTAATAGATAGCGTTAGTGTGTTTGCAGTTTGTTTTTAATTTCGGCCAATTGGCAGACACTGTTATTAACACGATAATGGACAGCAAAAACGAGTGCTTCTTTCTCTCGTGTGACACAATAATGTCATTTGACGTGCAATTTTTAGGACTTTTGAAAGAGCCGTCGTTTAGCTCGTTCACATTGTTAATAATTATTTTCAATGCTAAATTATTATTATTAATTAATTTCTTATAATAATAAATTGATTACATATAATAACATGAAAATACGCAATGAATTTATTGTGCCACGTCCTACGTATGATTTCATCATGTAAATTTTGTAGGTACGTGTGTCGTACTGTTACAATTATAATTTAAGTGAATTATTCAACGACTCCTCGATTTGATATTAAATTAAGCAATGCCAAAATTTTAATTAGCTCCTGTACAATGAGAGACAGACAGACAGACAGTGAGAGAGATAGAGAGAGAGAGAGAGAGAGAGAGAGAGAGAGAGAGAGAGAGAGGGAGGGAGAGAGACAAAGAGACAGAGAGACAGAGAGAGTGAGAGAGGGAGAGAGACAGAGAGACAGAGAGACAGAGAGAGTGAGAGAGGGAGAGAGACAGAGAGACAGAGAGACAGAGAGAGTGAGAGAGGGAGAGAGACAGAGAGACAGAGAGACAGAGAGAGTGAGAGAGTGAGAGTGAGATGGAGAAGGAGGGGGAGGATTTTAAGTAAGAGCGCCTTTATGTTAAACGACATGATACTCGTATTATGCCCCAAGACTTAAATGATCCAACTCTAATTGGCCATTCTCGTTTGACAGTTAGTAATTGCTTGTCCTCGTTCTGACAACCCTTTCACCAAGATACGCATGTATTTGACAATGTTTAATGGCCCATGTCGTTCTCTTATGTTTCAGGAGATGCAGGATCAAGAGAAATCAGCTCAACGGGAGAGTCGCTAAGCGCTATGCAGGCTCGCAAGGAGGAGGCAAGGCGCAAAAGACGCAAGAAGAAGCGCTCGTCGGGTTCGTCCCTCGTCTCATCATGCTTCCAAGGTAACAGCAATAACAGTTTACTTTGTTAAAGTTACAGATAGTTACGAATGAGAATGGTAATGGTGATGCCGATGTGACTAAAGGGGGTGGGGATTTGGGGGGTGGGGGGATCACATCGATTGGCCAAACACTCAACGCTCCAAACGTCCTTTCGATTAAGTGACTCAAAATGAACTCGCCCGAAATTCGGTAACACGCGAGCTCAATCGAGAACGGCATCGATGTGTTGCTGTGAATCCGATTAATGTAAACGTACAAACACATTTATAATAAATAGGGAGGAACCTTCGAGATGGAAATCATGTAACTCAGTCTCATTTTCATATATGGATAATAATTGGCGAAAAGAGCCGATGATCGTCGTAATAAATGAGCCGAGTCGAAAGTCCCAAGTGTAGCATTGGACTTGAGATACCAAGTGATACACTCGTGTCGTCGTGGCTTTATAAAGCGAGAGCCGACCGTTTGTTCCGTAAAGGCGGACGTAAGGCTACGGCGCAATAACTCCACTCCTTCCATTTGCTTCTGTACCATTCAGCGAGCTTCCTTACAATTACAAATTTTTTATGTATTTTTCCAACGGCATCGCCCTCGACTATCGTCCGGCGGCTCGTGACCGAAGCAAAGCTTCTCCCACCACTGCCTTAAAACGACCTCGGCCTTCCTCCAATCGTCCGATTATTCCGACTAGATGAAGCTATCGGGTCTAATTAGCGGCGGTGCGACGCCGTAGAGGCTTCTCGAAGCTTCTGGTACGATCCATACGAGACTGACTGGCATCACGACGCATACGTCGTCACGAGTGGGTTCAGCGGTTTCATGGCCTCGTTGTCGACGCCGACGCTGTCATTTGGTCGTCGTCGTTTCGTCGTCGTCGTTTCGTCGTCGTTCGCCATCGAAGCCTTATTTACACTTTTCAGGTACGACGAACGCTCTTCGGGTGTCCCTTTGGCTTCCGCTTGGGAAGTTTTCAAGGGACCCGCAGCAAGATGCTTTGGCTTACTGCCATCGCGACATACGCGATTTTCCATGGTTTCTCGAAGTAGTGGTAGCTGTAATTGCGGTACAGTGGTTTCGAGGCCTCTAGCTTCAAACTTGTCCCCTCACTTTTATCTTTATACGTAATTACGCATTAAAAATTCTCTCGGCACTGGTGGCACCGCTTTTAATAATTAATCTAGGTAGGCTCGTGTTGTATGCTGGCAGTCGAATTTTCTAGACGAGCTAAGTGCGTTGGCTGGTATGAGCGTGTCGAGCGTTCGGTACGTGGTGGCGGTATCGACGTTGCAACGACTCTAATAAACAATGAATAATTAATTGGGCGTGTACGCTTCCCTCAATCCAAATACCGAGTATCGAAGGTGAGAAAACATAGGTGGTGGTGGTAGGGAGGGAGGGAGGGAGGGAGGGAGGGAGGGGGGGGGGTTAGAGAAAGCTGATTTTGGGCAAATAATTATTTATAAATTCAGTAGCATCTCGTATCGACCTCATAAAAATGTATTTCGACCTCATAAAAATGTATTTTTGTGGATGCATCGCGATGCTGAACGAGGACGTCGGGGATGACAATATTCTACGGACAAAGCGAAAGCCAAACGGTCGCGTTACCTTGCCTCGACAGTCCGAAAAATTCTTCCTCATAATCGCTATAAATAGCAGAGCGCACGCACGAACTATGTCATCATCGCTCAGATGCGAAGTCTTTGTCCAGTTAGTCGCTATTTCATCAGACATCCTCCCGAGGATGGCTTCCGCATTCGAGCTAATCGGGAAGAAAAATGGCCGAATGTAGTGGAAGGAGGAGGAAGGTCGCGATTTATCTTATTCGTCGACGTTTACCTCTCCTATTTATAAGTTTCGACATTTTCGTTTCACCTCCGTTCGTGCCTGCAAGAGTGCCATTAATTTCCTCGCGAAAACCCAAAGGATGTTATTATTAATATAAGCATCGCCATGGGAAATACATTCGACTCCTGCCCCTATATATTGTGTAAAAATTCAGATCGCAGTAGAGATCACGCAAGTGATCTCGCAACGATAATTCAACAATTTCAATTTCGATCGGGACGAATTTAAATAAGGATCAGATAAAGATCACCGTGAACTCGAGATTTGACGGCGAGTAATAGCAGTACCAAAACTCTCACTCGAGCCGTCGTGAGGTAGCGGTAGAGTGGAGCCTATTCGAGAGGTGAATAAATAAAAATTCGAAAAAGACTAATGAAAATCGGGTAATGGGCGCGCGCACCTACTCGACCGAAAGTGCACTTGCGGCGGCGTTGCCAAGTTTCGTTTGCCTCGTCTAGGCGGTTACGACCCACGCGACGTGGCCACATAGAAAGTCCCTGACGACGACGGTTCTTTTATTGTGATTTTCTAGATTGGCACGGCACGTAGTCGTGAGCGAGACTCCCGCCGATGAGCATTTGCTGGCGACTTTCCTTTGCCCGCTTTAGGCCTTTCGCTCGCCATTTTTACATTAGCGCAGTTCAACTATTGGCTTTTGACCGACGATTTTCAGTTTCGCGTGCATGAATAATTCGATATGAAGTCTTAATGCGCAGACGCGCATGACAATACCCGCGACACTTGAGTCGAGTAGATACGAAGAATTCCTATACTTATGACCATTTGCTCGATTCGTCGTTCGATTACAATAAAATGACATTTTTGTTACGATAAAGATGACACTCTAATGATTGTAAATAAAAATGGCTACAGGATTCCATAATTTTATCATGGATTGTTAATTTAATAGAATTGTATTTTAAGATTAATTAGAGTAAGTCAATGTATTTGATAATGATTAGAGCACGAAATAATAAGATATATGTTATATTTTCTTCGCGATAACTTTTAAAGGCGAGACCGATATAGTAATAATAACAGCATTAATATTTCGCATAAATTGATGCAACCTTCGTTAATTAAATAAAGCTTTAATGATTAATGATACTTTTATTATTGAAACTTGGCTATGTTCGATATTCGAATATCAGTTTCGTATATTTACAAGTGATTCGTGTACATTGAAAAAAGAACAAAATTTTACTATTCTGATAATCTACCATAATGATTGCTGGTAATGTATTATGGCGCTCATGTTAACCGAAAGAAATGAAGGATAGATAGGTCATAAGAAAGAAGGATGAAAGAAGCGAAAATAAAAGTAACTGAACTGCAGCTAAGTATGTAGAGGTGTATGAGGTCGCTCGACCGCACAAAGCGAGCAAAAGGGGGTCGCGGCGTGTTTACGTGACCAAGGGATCGCAAAAGGGAAGAAGGAGGAAGAAAAAATAGTAGCGCGCTTGGCTGGCTCTCGTCTTATGGGAGGTGGAAATCAGGATTTTGCGCAGACGAGCGTATGCGGTGGCTCATTGGCCTTGACATTGCTTGTGGCCGCACTACCACCAACGCGTAAAACTCGCATCGATTCTCTCTCTCTCTCTCTCTCTCTCTCTCTCTATCTCCCTCTCGCTTGGAATCATCGTGCTATTATTAAGTACCCATGTCCGAGGGTTCTATTCACTTTTTTAATTAGTTTAATTGAACGTGCACCCGCAAGATCGTGGATGAAAATCTATTATC